TTAAGACCTTAGGGGTTGTTGACTGGGCACTGTGGCTCACCCTTGTAATCCTAGCACTTTGGGAGGCTGAGGCAGGTAGATCACGAGGTCAGGAGATCGCGACCAGCCTGGGCAATACAGTGAAACCCTGTCTCTACTAAAAATATAAAAATTAGTTGGGTGTGGTGGCAGGCGCCTGTAATCCCAGCCACTTGGGAAGCTGAGGCAGGAGAATTGCCTGAACCTGGGAGGTGGAGGTTGCAGTGAGCTGAGATTGTGCCACTGCACTCCAGGCTGGGTGACAGAGCTAGAATCTGTCTTAAAAAAAAAAAAAATTACAAACCAAGAGAGCATTGCCTATGTGCTGTGAAAAAGACGAGAGCCACAGATTGGCCAAATCTGTTGCTTTTACTCAGGCAGAGTGAAGAAAACTCTGGCCCTGTGACAGACATTTCCAGTTTTCTGTACATAGAAGTGGGGAAACAGTTGTGGACAAAGAAAAAAAAAAGCCAGCTGGGGTTCTTGACACACAGTTCATGCTAATTTTAAACTGTACTAATACTTGACTATATAATGAGGGATCCTTTGCAGGGGTGATGATCTGTTGAAGACTCAGCAGGACACACTGGGGAGAGGGAGGGAGGGTTTCAGAACGTTACCCTTCGGAGGCCTTTTAATAGGTACTGAAATCAGAATTGACCTCACAGAATCTGATAGTTACTGATGCAAAAAACAAAGTCAACATCATCTGCAAAGATAATTTTTCTCATCAGACTATGACTGCCTATGCTTATTACCACATCTGGAAATCTGACTACTTAAATAAGAATTTCTGTCAAGAGACTGAACAAGCCAAGCACCAGGAGTATTCTACTGTGTATGTACAGATGGACATCGATCCTGGAATATTTCTTTCTCATTGATGCTTAGGGACCATCTTTTGATTTTGATCCCTGTCAAGATTCTAAGGTAGTTTAAGACATAGCTTTTCAGTGTTGTTTTTTTCTTAAAATTTCTGTTTCTGTGAGTGTAATGTAGGGAGGAGTACCAGATTGTTTTTATAAGTTGTTTCTTATAATGATTAACACATCTTTTCTGCCTTAAGGTTTATAACAAATGTGAAGCTAAGTTTCACAGGTTAATTTCAGCTTAATCTTTTTGTGGATGATAGCATAGTCCAGAAGCAATATGCTGTGACATTTTATTTTATCTTACTCTATTTTTGAGACAAAGTCTTGCTCTATTGCCCAGGCTGGAGTGTAGTTGTGTGATCTTGGCTCACTGTAAGCTCTGCCTCCCAGGTTCAAGTAATTTTCCTGCCTCCACCACCCAAGTAGCTGGGATTACAGGCATGCACAAACATGCCCAACTAATTTTTGTATTTTAATAGAGATGGGGTTTTGCCAAGTTGGCCAGGCTGGTCTCGAACACCTGGCCTCAAGTGATCCATCCGCCTCGACCTCCCAGAGTGCAGGGATTACTGGTGTGAGCCACTACACTTGGCCTGTTATGATATTTTAAATTTCAAAATGTAATAAAATCACAACGTATGCCAGAAAGCCACAGTACTTCTCATTGAATATAGTATCTCCTTGGTGTTCATATCCTTATGATCTTACGTTAACTCTGTGTGCCAGTATTTTACCAAATCTGTCAACTCTTTTAAGGCAGAGACTACATTTATTTACTTTTTAACTTTTTGTTTGAAATAACTTTAGAGTTAGAAAAAATTTGCCCAAAAATACTACACCGATTTTCATGTACCCTTGATGTAGCTTCCCCAGATGTTACCATCTTACATAACCATAGCACAGCAAGGGAAACAGAAATTGACATTGATACAGTAGCATCACTGACTAACCTAAAGAACTTATTTCAGTTTGCCAATTGTCCTACTAGTGTCCTTTTTAAAGTCCAGGATCCAACCCAGAATCCCATACGGCACTTAATTGTCACGTGTTGTTAGTCATCTAGTCCACAGAAGTCTTTCTATAATTTTTGCGACTTAGTACTATTTTTTTTTGAGATGGAGTCTTGCTCTGTTGCCCAGGCTGGAGTACAATGGTGTGATCTCGGCTCACTGCAATCTCTGCCTCCCAGATTCAAGTGATTCTCCTGCCTCAGCTTCCCAAGTAGTTGTGATTATAGGTGCGAATCGCCATGCCCAGCTAATTTTTTTTTGTATTTTTGGTAGAGACAGGGTTCGCCATGTTGGCCAGGCTGGTCTCAATCACCTGACCTTGTGATCCACCTGCCTCGGCCTCCCAAAGTGCTGGGATAACAGGCATGAGCCACTGCGCCCAGCCTTACATATCCCCATCATTTTTTTAAAGCATTTCGTAATTCTTTGGCATCACAAGATGTGTCAGGGTTATTTTGCTCCAGCCCTTGAATCAGTCACTTCTCCAAAGACCCTAGTTCTTTTTATTGGAGATTGGTATTTAGAAACAGAATCTGGGTGCTTGATATGCTCATGGCCACTGGTATATCATTGCTTCTAGGCCCTCTCAGCTTACAGTGCTGGGAACTAATGTGTATGTATATACACATATATGAACATGTTTCTCCCTCTCTCTTCATATCTATATACCTATGAATATTTATCTACCTATTAAAAACAATAAGTTTATCCTGATACTTCCACTTACAACTCAATATCACAGTTTTTTTTTAAATACCTCTTTCTCCTTACTTGTGGCTTTTTCTCCAACAGTTAGAAACCAGGCATTCATTATCTACAATATATTTACTTATTTGCTCAACTCTAGTACATATGTAAAGAAGTTTCAGAATTGTGATCCCATAATCCCTATGAGAAACAAGTTTACCAACAAGATTATATAGTGTTCAGGTACAGTCCTTTTTGTCTTTAGTCTTAAGGTATATAATAAAAGTACTGGTTTCCAAAACTAGGTTAGGTATTTTCTTTCTTACCTCTTTCATGATGACTGTTGTTTTTCATTTTGTAATATAGCTAGGTTCTTTTGTTACTGTTTGTGTTCCATTCTGTGTTCCCCCAATACCGAGAAGTTGGTTTTAATATTTATTTGGGCGATGTGAAACATGACTATAGTTTTAGGAGTCAGAACTATGTGAAAAGGGGCTGGGCACAGTAGCTCATGCCTGTAATCCCAGTACTTTGGGAGGCTGAGATGGTTGGATCACTTGAGCTCAGGAGTTTGAGACCAGCCTGGCTAACATGGTAAAAACTCTTCTCTACTAAAAGGACAAAAATTAGCTGGGTGTGGTGGCAGGTGCCTGTATTCCCAGCTACATGGGAGGCTGAAACAGGAGAATCGCCTGAACACAGGAGGCGGAGGTTGCAAGGAGCTGAGATCGCACCACTACACTTAATGTGGGCGACAGATCTAGACTCTGCCTAAAAAAGAAATAGGAACTATGTGAAAAGGCATTTCAGAAAAGTGTCATTCCTCCACATCCTTCTGTCTCCCATTCATTTCAGTCTCCCATTCTTCCCACCCCGTTCCCACCCACCCTGTAAGCATCCAGTTCAATTAGTTTCTACTTTTTCTCCTATATTTCTTTTTGCCCAAATAAACAGACACGTATATGTTTTCTTATATGGAGATGATATTCAGTGTCTTGTTTTTGTGGTACTGGGCAATTTGAATGCTGTTCGGTAATTTTAACTCTTAAGGATACTGTTTATAATTGGTCTCTCCTTACTGCCAGTGTATTAGAAAGCACACTAAATGATTGGGGTGTTTTTTTTTTTTTTTTATAAAATATTTGTGAAATTTTTAAAAAAATGAAGATGACAGGCCAGGCGCAGTGGTTCATGCCTGTAATCCCAGCACTTTGGGAGGCTGAGGGGGGTGGATCACGAGGTCAAGAGATCGAGACCATCCTGGCCAACATGGTGAAACCCTGTCTCTACTAAAAATACAAAAAATTAGCTGGGTGTGGTAGCGCATGCCTGTAATCTCAGCTACTCGGGAGGCTGAGGCAGGAGAATCACTTGAACCCAGTAGGCGGAGATTGCAGTGAGCTGAAATCACGCCATTGTTTAGGGAACCAGCCCTACATCACCTGTGGGTACCCCAAGTTCAGTGGGACAAAGGAATGAGAAAAAGACATTAAGAGAGAAAGGAGGACTGGGGCCATCACTTTATTACTTTGGAGAAGACAGTGAAAGCCCTGAACTCTGACCATCAACACTATTTACTGGTTACATTCACTTTGATCTACAGGGTAGGGGTGGAGTGATGGTGGGGAGAGGGTGATGGTGGAGTGAATCAGTGAGCTGGAACTGGTGTGTCATTGTAAAGATTGATAACAGTGGAGGTTTGGGAGTTTCACAAAACAAGAACGTGGTTATCTTTAACTTATTATTTATGTGCAGCTGGTGGAACTCGGGCATTACAAGGAGCCTACAGGTCTGGTGACGTCATAGTGCTACGAAGGGGTTTTACATCCTTGAGCACAATGATTATGGTAACAGAGCCCAGGTCACCCCACACCGGAACATGAGGCATGGAGAGGCCATCCTCCTCAGAGGCCTCCTGCAGCCCTCCGCACTTTGTTGTTCCTTGTTTATGTGTTACTCATAACCAATTTATGTAGGCACTCTGTAAGTCCTTTCTCCTTTGCTGCTTTTCCCAACACATGCACTCCAGCCTGGCGACAGAGCGAGACTCCATCTCAACTAACTAACTAACTAACTAAATAAAATGAAGATGACATGAATTTTGATGGGCTTATTAATACTGAACTATTTCTTGATAATATAAAATGAGAATATAAAGCAAGCAGCAGTCTTTTCAAGTTTTCTTTAATGCATTACACTTTTTTTTTTGCAAGATATTTTAAAGTTTTCTTTTTACTTATTAAGTGAACTGAATTATTTCAGGCTTCAATGAGACTGCTAGACTGTTATATTTTGGGGGTCTCGCAGAGTAGCTTTTCTTACACATATAAGCAGAAGTAAACATTTTCCCGAGTGTTTTAATAGGGCTTTGATGCATTTCATTGTGCACTCTTTCTTTCCACGTACTCTGCAGGCATTTGGGCAGTCCTTCTCCATCCACCGGAAGGTTGCTGAGGATGGAGAGACGCGGGAGGAAACGCTTCTGCAGGAGTCAGCATCGAAGGAGGCTTACTATCTGGGGAAAATCTTGGAGATGCAGAACGAGCTGAAACAGAGCCGGGCTGTGGTCACTAACGTACAGGCAGAAAATGAGAGGCTCACCGCGGTCGTGCAGGATCTGAAGGAGGTAAACAAACAAATTCCCTATGAGAGACTTGTGAGAAGGAGAAATAAGAGTGTTCTCTCCATAGCAGAGGAAATAACACATTTGCTTTAATCAGAGGAGCTGTGTTAAGCATGAAACACATAATACTGGGCTAGCAACTTTTCTGTCTTTTTTAGTGAAATGACAGCTAGCTTGTTCTGAGATGAGCTTTTCTCTCTTTTGCTGTTTCTTGAGAATTAAGTTTTGTATGTATTGCGGACTTGGGAATTGGCCTTACTATTTCTGCAAAGATGTTTAAAAACCACAGTGACCTTAGAACTTCCTCCCTGCATTACCTGGTTGAATACAACGTGGAGAACGGTTGGCTGTAATGCTGCGCATCAGCACGAACTCCACCTGACAGTGGTGTTGGCTCAGGACGCTGCTCACTGGGAATGACAGCCCAGGCGCGTGTCCTGAGGAGTCTTTGAGTCTGGTGATGCAGATCCCCAGACTATTTTTCTGGTTCTAGAGAAGGCAGCAAATTATAGCTGGTATGAATTAGGTCAGGGAGTCTTTCTCGGTCTATGAGTGTCCACCGAACTCACTATTCCTTGTTAGCTTTTCCAAGGCAGCATTGCCTGCCAGTCATTTTCAGACTGGCAGAGTCACTCTTTAGTGGAGGGGTGAGGTTGGAAACAGAGATAGCCAAAAGTGGCTTCATCCATCAAACTCTTGTAAGAGCATTTTTAGAAACTATATTCAATCATTCACTCCATATTTTGATATGAAAGTAGAAGAGATCCAGATGGCCTGTAACTCCTATACCAATGCAGTGGTGATTGACAGGTCCACAGCCAAATGGGCTCACTAGTTGAGCATTTTAGTAATAGAAATACATAGGATGAAAACATTCTTCAATATTGTAAAATATAAGAGAAGCAATCCACATTTCAAATATGGGACATATGGCCGAGCGTGGTGGCTCACACCTGTAATACCAGCACTTTGGGAGGCCGAGGCAGGCGGATCACAAGGTCAAGAGATCAAGACCATCCTGGCCAACATGGTGAAACCCTGTCTCTACTAAAAATACAAAATTTAGCTGAGCATGGTGGCACACGCCTGTAGTCCCAGCTACTTGGGAGGCTGAGGTGGAAGGATCACTTGAACCCGGGAGGCGGAGTTTGCAGTGAGCTGAGACGGTGCCACTGCGTTCCAGCCTGGCAACAGAGCAAGACTCTGTCTCAAAAAAAAAAGGAAAAAAGAAATATGGGACATATTACAAATAGGGTTTCATTATTATAAGACATAAGTTGTCCAGAATTTATTGGAATCTTCTAGATAATTTACATTTACACATGTCCATATTACAATGAACTAAATGAATACTGACAGCAACGTTTTTTATTTACTTATCTCGTTATCTTTGGATATGCCTAAATATAGCAATATGACTTGAGAAGACAGAAAGGATCCAATCAAGTGGAAGTTGGTATTAAGTGCTAAGAAAAACATGAGACAGTTTTCAGGATACCAGGGCCTCCTCATTTCCCTCTAGTGCGAACAACTGTTAAACACACAGCTGCTTGGCCATGCACAGTGGCTCACGCCTGTAATCCCAGCACTTTGGGAGGCCGAGGTGGGTGGATCATGAGGTCAAGAGATTGAGACCATCTTGGCCAACATGCTGAAACCCTGTCTCTATTAAAATTAGAAAAAAATTAGCCAGGCGTGGTGGTGTGGGCTTATAGTCCCAGCTACTCTGGAGGCTGAGGCACGAGAATTGATTGAACCCGGGAGGCGGGGGTTGCAGTGAGCTGAGATCACGCCACTACACTCCAGCTTGGCAACAGAGTGAGACTGTCTCAAAACAAAAAGCACAGCTGCTGTTTAGTTCCTTCTTTTTTTTTGAGACAGGGTGTCACTCTGTTGCCCAAGCTGGAGTGCAGTGTCGCAATCCAGCATCCACTGCGGAAGTGGACAGAGGGTCATGTGGAGCCAAAGCCCACCATCCTGAATTAAACAAGGCACGTAACATTTGTAGGGAGCAACCTCAGCAGCCATGAGTAGCAGGGTCATGTGGAAGTTGGCAGAGAGGGCGTGGCATGGGCAACGTGAAGACCATGGGCACACACATGGAGGTGGTTTGTGGAGAAGAACGTGACCAATTATTCAATGAGTCAAACAGTCTTGGTGGCGGTTGAATGGTTCCTCTGAAAGCTGCAGTCACCATTGTGTGTAGCAGCTGCAGCTGAGCCAAGAACAGCCAAGGTTGAGGATGGGGCAGGGCATCCACAGATGCTTTTTTGTGTGAGTCAAGGCAGTGATGATTGATGGAGCATCCTCACTTACGCAGCCACGCTTGAGGGCAGTTCCAGTGAGTAGATTTATGATGAGTAGCAGAAGCTAATTAATTAAGCATGAAGTTACGAGTGAGGAATGAACTGAGGCAGCAAAAGAAAAAAAGTTTGAGGAGCCTTTCATTCAGTTCAGTTCTCCAACTTTAACGAGCATCTGAACCACCTGCAGAGCTCGTCAGACCACGAACACTGGACCCCCCTCCCAGAGATTATGATTTAGTAGATGGACGTAGGACCCAGTAATTTGCATTTAAAACAAGTTCCCAGGTGATGTGGGGGCTGCTGCTCTGGAAACCACATTTTAAGAACCACTAATTTAGATTTTTTGGCCTGCCCAAAGCTGAGGAAGGCTTACAACTGGGGCATTGCTATAAACACCATGATCTCCTGCATAAAGCACTTGGTTGTGACCCTTCAATTTTTATGCATTTTCGATAGTTGATTTGAAGTAAGAAACTAACCTATTAATAGCCTATTAATGAGTTTATTCAGATTGGTCAGGTAACTAAAAGAAAAAAAGGTCGTGTGTTTCCTTGTGTTCTATGTGTGCCAACGATGTATTTGTTAATGCTCTTTCTGATGGAGTGAAAGCTGGTGATATTACTATAATCCTGAGTTTTTTTGTTTTTAATCCAGTAGATACAGTTTATTTTGATGTACCTAAGAAAATTATTATTAATATTTAGAGCTAACATAAAAGGAGAATAGGAATAAATTCTATTTTTTGGTGTATTGATACAGAGTTTTATTGGTTGGTATTAATTGAAATCTCAGATTTCCTTGCAGGCTCAATTTTATTTTTTGTATTGTCTTCATTAACTGATGCACAGTGATTGAAAGAGTGATCATGTAGCTAAGGAGAATTATGACATGATGGACCATGAGAAATATGCAAGGATAACCAACCCAAAATATAGTAAATGATCAGTTTGACAGAGGCTATGTGTTTAACAACTTAATGGGATCATTTTTCTTTGCTGAAAGGACTCATTTCCTGTTTCAGTAGGATTGTTGATCCTAGCAAAGATGTGTGTTTGTGCATATATGATGGGTGCAGTGTGTAAATTTACCCGTATGTGTCGTGTGTGTGTGTGTGTGTGTGTGTGTGTGTGTGTGTATACAATGTCAAATTCTCTTCCATAAATAGTAGTTATAGGATAGTATGGTAGAAAATGGAAAAATTGCTGAATTAGATATTAGAAAATCAATATTCTCCAGCTCTGCTGAAAGTTTTAGTATTAAATTCATAGTATTTGTAAAATTTATATTAAGATTATATTAATATATAGCAAATACATAATAAACATAGGTAATTATCATTAATAACATTCTGCATACTCCAAAAACACCACTGAAGATATAATTATATTCTTAGGTTAAAGAAACATGAGATAAATATCTCTTTGGATCAGTTGAGGTCAGGTGTTTGAGACCAGTCTGGCCAACATGGTGAAACCCCATCTCTACTAAAAATACAAAAATTAGCTGGATGTTGTGATGTGTGCCTGCAATCCCAGCTACTCAGGAGGCTGAGGCAGGAGAATCTCTTGAACCTGGGAGGCGGAGGTTGCTGTGAGCTGAGATCACTCGCTCCATTGCTCCACCTTGGGCAACAAGAGCGAAACTCCGTCTCAAAAAAAAAAAAATCTGTTTTTTAGTTTAGTTGACCTTTATGATTGATCTTAGCTAGATCTACTGATCACTTGCTGCGTCAGTCAATGACATTAGCACTGCTGCTTCACCTTGAGCTTTATGTTACAGAGATGGCTTCTTTCCTTCAACCTCATGAACTAAGCTCTGCTAGTATCAAACTTTTTTGCAGCATTCTCACCTCTCTCAGCCTTCATAGAATTGAAAAGAGGTGGCCAGGCGAGGTGGCTCATACCTGTAATCGTGGCACTTTAGGAGGCTGAGGAGGGTGGATCATCTGAGGTCAAGAGTTTGAGGCCAAGCTGGCCAACATGGCAAAACCCCATCTCTACTAAAAATACAAAAATTAGCTGGGCGTGGTGGTGGGCGCTTGTAGTCCCAGATATCCGAGAGGCTGAGGCAGGAGAATCATTTGAACCCGAGAGGCAGAGGTTGCAGTCAGCTGAGATCACTCCACTGCACTCCAGCCTGAGTAACAGAAAGAGAGTCTGTCTTTAAAAAAAAAAAAAAAAGAATTTAAGAGAGACCTTGCTTTCTTGATTAGGCCTTGGCTGGTTTGATCTTCTATCCAGAACTTTCTTCATGTCAGAAATGAGGCTGTTTGACTTTACTTATCATTCATGTGTCAATGGAATAGCGCTTTTAATTTTCTTCAAGAACTTTTTCTTTGCATTCATAATTTGACTAACTTAACTTGGCTAATTTGGCATATGCTTAATCATTTCTCCCTTTCCTTGAAAGTATGATTCTTTCACTTGGACACTTTGAGGCCGTTGTAGTGTTATTAACTGGCCTGATTTCAGTATTGTTTTATGTCAAGGAATAGGAGGCCCAAGGGGAAAGAGACAGGGAATGGATGGTCAGTGGAGCAGTCAGAACGCAGATGTTTGTGGATTAAGTTTGCTGTCTTATATTGGTGTGGTTCATGTCAGTATAACAGATAAAACAGTAATGAAAAAGTTTGAAATATTGCAAGAATTACCAAAATGTGACACAGACACACAACGTGAGCACATGCTGTTGGAAAAA